AACTCTGGGGTGCGTCTGGGGATGAGGGGTTTGAGGTGCAGGAGGGTGCTCTGGGCTGGGACAGAGGGTTTGGAGGGTGGGACGGGGATCAGGGCTGGGGTAGGGGTTGGGGCATGGGAGGAGGTTGGTGGCGCAGGCTCTGAGTGGCGCTTACCTCAAGCAGCTCCCGGAAGCAGCAGCATGTGCCCCCCCACCCCAGCTCCTAAGTGGAGGCGCAGCACCGGCTAGGCAGCTCTGCATTCTGTCCCGTCCACAGGTGCTGCCCCTGCAGCTCACATTGGCCACGGTTCCCGACCAATTGAAGCTGCAGAGTCGGTGCTGGGGGCAGCGTGTGGAGCCCCTTGGATGCCCCTACACATACAAGCCGGAGAGGGGACATGCCATTGCTTCCGGGAGTCGCGCAGAGCCACGGCACAAGCAGAGCTGCACAAACCCCCAGTCCCACTCCCTGGCTGGAGCACAAGAGGTGCTGACTGAGGAGATATCTGAGCCATTAGCGATTATCTTTGAAAAGTCATGGAAGACTGGAAAAGGGCAAATATAGTGCCAATCTATAAAAAGGGAAATAAAGACAATCTGGTGAATTACAGACCAGTCAGTTTAACTTCTGTACCCAGAAAGATAATGGAGCAAATAATTAAGCAATCAATTTGCAAACATCTAGAAGATAATAAGGTGATAAGTGACAGTCAGCATGGATTTGTCAAGAACAAATCATGTCAAACCAACCTGATAGCTTTCTTTGATGGGGTAACAAGCTTTGTGGATAGCGGGGAAGCGGTAGACATGGTATATCTTGACTTTAGTAAAGCTTTTGATACTGTCTTGCATGACCTTCTCATAAACAAACTAGAGAAATGCAACCTAGATGGAGCTACTATAAATGGGTGCAAAACTGGTTGGAAAACCGTTCCCAGAGAGTAGTTATCAGTGGTTCACAGTCATGCTGGAAGGACATAACGAGTGGGGTCCCGCAGGGATCAGTTCTGGGTCCGGTTCTGTTCAATATCTTCCTCAATGATTTAGATACTGGCATAGCGAGTACACTTATAAAGTTTGCGGACAATACCAAGCTGGGAGGAGTTGCAAGTGGTTTGGAGGATAGGATTAAAATTCAAAATAATCTGGACAAACTGGAGAAATGGTTTGAAGTAAATAGGATGAAATTCAATAAGGACAAATGCAAAGTACTCCACTTAGGAAGGAAAAATCAGTTGCACATATAGAAAATGGGAAATGACTGCCTAGGAAGGACTACTGTGGAAAGGGATCTGGGGGTCATAGTGGATCACAAGCTAAATATGAGTCAACAGTATAACGCTGCTGCAAAAAAAGCAAACATCATTCTGGGATGTATTAGTAGGGGTGTTGTAAGCAAGACATGAGAAGTAATTCTTCTGCTCTACTCCATGCTGATTAGGCCTCAACTGGAGTATTGGTCCAGTTCTGGGCATCACATTTCAGGAAGGATGTGGACAAATTGAAGAGAATCAAGAGAAGAGCGACAAAAATGATTAAAGGTCTAGAAAACATGACCTGTGAGGGAAGATTGGAAAAATTGGGTTTGTTTAGTCTGGAAAAGAGAAGACTGAGGGGGGACATGATAACAGTTTTCAAGTATGTAAAAGGTTGTTACAAGGAGGAGGGAGGAAAAATTGTTTTTCTGAACCTCTGAGGATAGGACAAGAAGCAATGGGTTTAAATTGCAGCAAGGACGGTTGAGGTTGGACATTAGGAAAAACTTCCTAACTGTGAGGATGGTTAAGCACTGAAATAAATTGCCCAGGGAAGTTGTGGAATCTCTATCATTGGAGATTTTTAAGAGCAGGTTAGACAAAAACCTGTTAGCAATGGTCTAGATAATACTTAGTCCTGCCATGAGTGCAGGGGTCCCTTCCAGTCCTATGATTCTATGTCTTTGGAGGCTAATGTCTTTAATTACCCACAGGACAGCAGGAGCACAAACCGTGCCACTGCAAGCTTTATCAGTCAGTCTTACCATGTGTGACGCAGTAGGGAGCGGGGTGGATTGACCTGGGAATATCATTTAGTTTTATTGGACTGTCTGCATGGGGGATGGGAGAGCAGGGGATGATTTTAGGTGAGGGATGGTACCTGAGCCTGTAACCTGAGCCAGGAAGGAGGGTGGGGTGAGTCAACACCTTTGCCGGGGAAACTGGACAAAGGGATGGGGGAGAGAAGGAGAGGGAGAGAGCCTGCTGGAGGGGTTTTTGGTTTCAGTTTTAGGCTGGCTGGGAAGAGGCAGGGAACCCCAAGTCTGGGGTCTAAGATCCTTGCCCCCCAGAGGGACCTGGCTTGAGGGGTCCTGGTTGTACCTACAAGCCCTGCTTGGGACTGTGTTCCTGTCGTCTAATAAACCTTCTGTTTTACTGGCTGGCTGAGAGTCACGGTGAATCACAGGAAGTGAGGGGTGCGGGGCCCTGACTCCCCCACACTCCGTGGCACCATGTTCTGAAGGGACTGTTATCTGGTGTGGGAAGGCAATTCAGTCTCCTTAGCTATTAAGAGTAAGATTTTAAAGGCATTAGGGCACCTAAACTTGCAGATAGGCACCAAGAGGGATTTTCAAAATCACCTAGGGATCCATGAAGGGACTTAGGCATTGCAACACTGAGAATCATGGCATCAAATTTTTAGGAGCCTAAAAAATAACAGGAATAATGCTGTGATCCACAAAGCCTGAGTTAGGTGCCTAGACTTCCTATACAGTGGGAGTTCTCAAACTTATTTTGCTGGGCCACCCCTTTGAAAATATTTCAGGGTGTGATGACCCCTCCTCCCAAAAAAGTGATAGCAAATTATCCATACATACTTATAGGAACATACTCATGATATTGCCACCTTACTTCTGTGCAGTTGCTGGCAGTGGTGCTGCCTTCAGAGCTGGGTGGCTGGAGAGTGGCAGCTGCTGTACTCCCTTCAAGTCCCCGAGCAATATTTTTTATAATCTTGTGACCCTCTACAACAGACTTGTGACCCGCTTTTGAGTTGGACTCCCACTTTGAAAAATGCTGCTATACAATGAATGGGGAAAGATAGGCACTTAAGAACGTGATCCACAAAAGCCAGCACACTAGGTAAGGAGCTGTCTAAACCAGCCAATGAGAGATGCTGATGAGAGGGGTGTGTCCTAAATCCCACCCATCTCCGAGAGAGGCCCCGGAGGTTCAGGTTGTAGGGAGGCATCTGGGACACTGGTAAATGAAGTGCCAGCTGTGGCCAAAGCTGTAGCCCTTTGCTAAGAACTGACAAATTCATAGCTGGAAACCAAACCAGCTCACCTGGAGGTTAGTTTTGTTCAAAATAGGTATTAGTGTTATATGAATATATTTAGTCTCTATGAAATGCTTGTAAATTGCTGCATGCATTAATCTCATGTGTAATTCTGTATTCCATGCTATAAGAAAATATATAAGTTTTGCTTTATAACTTTGAAAATGTTTGCTCTCAAGTTGTGAACTGAGGCATGGGAATTCCCCCACCCCACCCCCATTCAGGAGGCCTATAAAGATTAAATGGGCCATTAAGGAACATTGGAACACAAAGGATTTGTGAATGGCCCTATCACACCTTGGAAATGCTACCTGCAATAGAGCTCCTCTTGTGGACTGGAAGACTAAATGTAAGAGATAAAACAGGATCACAAGAGAATTTTTCACCTCTTTGCTGTTTGACCTCTCACAGGGCCAGAGACTCATAACTCTAATTTCTTTTTGTTAGTTAATAAACCTTTAGATATTTTATTACAGGATTGGCTACAGGTTATGTCTTTGGTGTAAGACCTAGGGTACTAACTGATCTGGGATAAGTGATTGGTTTCTTGGGACTGGAAGCAACCTGAATATTTTATGATTTTTGATAACCATTTATCACTAAGTCCAGTTTGCCTGCGCGACAAGATAGACTGGAGAGCGATCTGTGACTCTGTGGTGAGACTGATATAGTAATCCTGAAGTTCACACTTATCGGTTGGTAAAATCTATTTATACAACACACTGCCAATTTGGGGTGTCTGCACTGTTTTTGATTGCTTACCTCAGGGCAGACTCTCACAGTTGTGAGCCACTGGAGACAAGACGACAGCACCTATTTCTGATTAATGATCCAGGACTGGCCCAATGACAATTAAATGATATATCAACAGGGCAACAATCATTAGGCAAGAGAAACTGCAGTCTAGTATTCAGAGTAGCAGCCGTGTTAGTCTGTATCCGCAAAAAGAACAGGAGTACTTGTGGCATTGCGAAATTTGTTAGTCTCTAAGGTGCCATAAGTACTTCTGTTCTTTTTGCGGATACAGACTAACACGGCTGCTACTCTGAAACCTGTCATTATGCAAGGCACTGCATTTAGCCGTATGGAGTGGAAAAAATTTGTTAGTCTCTAAGGTGCCAGAAGTACTCCTGTTCTTTTTGCAGTCTAGTAGTTAGGGTACCCACTGGGAGATGGGATACCCAGGGTTCAAAGCCCCTGCTCCACTCTATTACTTTTCACAGCGGAACAGCTTCAACAGCCTGAGGGAGCACCACCCTATCGCTCAGTGCTTAGAGCACTCTCCTGAATGGGAAACCTCAGTTCAAGTCCTTTCTTTGCCAGCCTGGTGAAAGTGAGTGAGGGTGGAGGAGGAGAGCGAGTGATGGAGGGAGGGGGATGGGGTAGATACTGGGTTGTCCTTTAATTCAAAAAGTGATCTTGGGTGTAAAAGCATTAGAGACCACGGTGCTAGGCCCTGCATGAACTGGGCAGACCTCAGAGCCCCCGACCCAAGCGCACTCCCTGCGCGAGCGACGCCAGCTGAGGGATGTCAACAGAGCTCCAACTGCTTCGTGCGCCGCCCTGGAGCCCCGCCCCCATCCGCCTCTGCATGGAGCCCGCCCCCACCCGCTTCCCCTCTGTATCTCCATGGAGCCCCGCCCCCAACCCCCGTGCGCCGCCCTGGAGCCCCGCCCCCATCCGCTTCCCCTCCGCCTCTCTATGGAGCCCCGCCCCCATACCCTCGTGCGCCGCCCTGGAGCCCCCGTCATCCCCTCCCCCATGCGCCGCCCTGGAGCCCCGCCGCCAGTCGCTCCTGGTGTCCCAGCACATACTGTCCCCCACGGGTGTAGACAGCGGAATCAAATTGCTCGGAGTCGGTTGCCGGGGGGGAGTATTTTCGGGCCGCTCCCCGGCAGGTGGGTGAGGTGGCGCGGCTAGGCCGGTTCCGCTGGGGGAGGTGAAGATGGCGGAGAGCCGGGGTGAGGTGGCGGCTCCGCCGTCGGGCTCCTCTCAGGGGCCCCCCGGCAGCACCGGGACCGCGCCGCCCAGTAGCAACCCGCTGTCCCGTAAGCTCCACAAGGTCCTGGAGACGCGGCTGGACAACGACAAGGTGAGAGCGGGGCGGGCACTGCCTGGGGGGCAGCGGGGGGAGTTAGGTACTGAGGGCAGCGGGCTGTCCAGGCCGGAGGGGGCGAGTATGGGGGGTGGAGGCTGCCCAGGCCCGGGGGAGCAGGCTGCCCGTGCGGGTTGCGGGGAGTACTAGAGCCGCGGGAATGGGGAGAGGCCCTGGCGGGGGTGGAGAGCAGGAGAGAATGCGGGGGGCTAATGTGCCTGGGATCGATGCTCTACACCGTGTGGCCCCTGAGCCTCCCAGGAGAGAGGTGAGCCCTTCTTGACTGATCGCCAGCGCGGTCGGTGCTTGCCGAGATGCTCTCCTGCAGACCCGAAACAGGTGTTCACAGTTGTTCATACCCTGACTCACCGTACTGGGCCTGGCAGGTTACCGAGCCAGCCTGCGGGTAAGGGTGGCTTGATGTTGGAATGAATGGGTGATGCTGGCTGCCCCAGCACACCCTTACGCTCTTCTCTTATCCTTCATCATTTTCCCCTTGGAGTGTAAAAACCCAAGTGTGGCTCAGGCCTGCAACCCATGGGTAGGTGTCTGGTCTTCTGGGGGTAAAACCTGCAATGTTGATAGTAAAGTATGTTCACTAAGCTATATAAAAGCACCCTATCTAGTTGTGGTGGGAAAGGTGCTTGTCCAAGAGTCCTCCAACACATTTTAGCAGGCAGTTATAATATCCCATAACTGCAATCAGAATAACAATAAATACTATCTACATTATGATAGGTTTCAGAGTAGCAGCTGTGTTAGTCTGTATCCGCAAAAACAGGAGTTGTTAGAATAGGAGTACTTGTGGCATCTTAGAGTCTATCTCAACCGTATTTTCTAAGACTTTATTTTTTGGACATTAAAATTCATGTATTTTGTGTTTAAATTAACATCAAGTATCACCCACTCTTTTCTGCTCATAAGGAAATTCACACTCAGGAACACATTACAGTTAATTGGTGTTAATCTAAATTTTGATTGTGCATGGAACATTCATATCAGTTATTAATATAGTGGTTGAAAGTGATTGTGCACCACCTCACATATGAACGTTTGGGGAAAAAATTAAAATAGAGACAATCGAACTGCTTGAGGAGTTATAATTTTTTAAAAAAATGTGTTAATTTTAAATGGTTAAAGAATACTCAACATCAATGTCTTGAATCAGGGAGAGATCACTTGATCATTACCTGTTAGGTTCACTCCCTCTGGGGCACCTGGCATTGGCCACTGTTGGTAGACAGGATATTGGGCTAGATGGACCTTTGGTCTGACCCAGTTGGGCCGTTCTTATGTATCTTAGAACAGAAGTTCTTAGTTAATTTTCTTATATTGTACAGGAAATGCTGGAAGCTCTCAAGGCTCTTTCAACCTTTTTTGTCGAAAACAGTTTGCGCACCAGAAGAAACTTGCGTGGAGACATTGAGCGCCGTAACTTAGCCATAAATGAAGAATTTGTCTGCATTTTCAAGCAAGTTAAAGAGGTAACATTTTTGTTAACAACTCATCTTAAAACATCTAGAATTGATCTGAAAAAAACCTCTGTAAGCTTGAAAACTCATCTTTTTCACCAATAGAGGTTGGTCCAGTAAAATATGTTCCCTCACTTACCTTGTCTCTAGTATTGATTACATGAAAACCAAGCCTCAAAGAATTTTTCCTTTTCCGAAGCAAATTTATCATCATAGTAGAATTGTTTCAGCCTTTTCTATAATTCAACCATTTTTCTCACATGTAAGGTGTTCATCACTTTGACTTATGAACATAAATATACTGGAGCTAAAGCCTTCCTGGAAATGACTTGACTCAGTACATGTAAATATGTGGTTGGATAGAGCCCTCAGTAACTGGATGTGATCATAAAGTGATTTCACTAAAATCAAGCAAAGCAGATGCTCTTTTACTGAATTGTCTCAGTACTACAATTTGAAATTTGTTTGGTTGTAATGTCAGACTGACAAGAAACAAAAGAGATGCTAAACTTCCAAAGCTAGCTGTTTTTCCCTTATAAATAAACCAACTAAATGTTCTCTGGCATCCAGATTTAGTTTTTGTTGGTATGATAGACTTGCCACTGAAGAGCCAAAGCAGTGGCAAGTTTTCTTCTGTAGTAATAAAAGGTCCTTCATATTTTGCTCAGCAGTACAGAATTGCAATATACTGAACACTCTGTACAGATGCTGATGCATCATGGAAGATAGAGTGTGCACTGCTGCTTGGCAAATGAAATGGCAATATTATCTGCTGTTCTTTAATCCTAAGAAGCTCACTGGTATGATCACTGAGTGAAATTAAACACATTTAGGAAAAGTACACCCAAGAAGAAAACTGGACTAGATAACTTCTTCTGAGAGGGTGTGGAAGGGGAACTGTTGCTGAAACATAGATAAATCATGCATGCCAACATTTTGAAAAATTCTGTAGTTAGATTCTAATTGTAGACTTGATGTAGCATAACCATTGCAGAAAAATACACCACAATACAAATAAACTACCACTCTTATTCTATTCTTAGGAGCTTGAAAGTATAAATGAAGATGTTCAGGCAATGAGCAACTGCTGTCAGGACATGACCATTCGTTTGCAGGTACTGTAGGAATAGATGTCTGTTTTTTCCCTATCTTTCCCTGCTGCATCTTGGCAGATTACTTAACTGCTTAACAAAGTGACCAAAGAAGTTTTTTCCATTAACAGCTCTATTAAGGCAACTCTAGAATATTAATGCTACTGTGTAACTGTTATCTTGGTATAGTAATCAGTGTGTTTCTAGTTCTAAAGAAAAGACGTTCAACTACTTTCAGGGGAGTTACATATCACTACTTCCATTTCAGTTATAGGAATATGTTTCGTTCAGAGTATCAAGGTATCCATCAGTTTTTTAATATGGTGAAAAACTGATTATATGAAGAATGCTGTACTTTAATTTTGAATCTAAAAGTGTATTATACAGTATAAAAAACTACCTTGTTCCTTCTTAATGTGTGTATGGAACTATTATGAGGATTAATAAGTTCTAGATCACTTTCATCAAACACAGACAGTGCTGTCAAATGCCTTGGCCACTGTACAGTAGATCATGGGGGACAGATAAAAGCTAGCTGGATCTCAAGCTGGATAATATGGGAGGGATGTGGATAGAGTGAGCGATGCAAATAGACGATATGGCCAGGAATATATTTTTCCTTTTAATTGAATGTGTCTTCCGTTTTTACTCAAGTTAGGAATAACTGGATACTGTTGGATTCCCAGCTGTTTAGGCCATCTTATAACAGGAGTGACTAGGATTGCCTTTTTCCCCCTGGCCAGAAGTGTGACCCTTTTTCATATATTGACTTTGCTACCATGATCTGGGCCAGGGATTCGATGTAGCTAGTAGCTGAATTGAAAGGGAGGCTATAAGTGTGGGAGTGGGCAATGAGTGAAGAGGTTGAAGGGTAAATAGGAATTTGAATTAGTAGGGGAAGGTGGGGAGGAACTAAAATCAGCCAATGACAAACAACAACTTGTTCATTTTTTGCATGTTTGAATCTCTTCTAGCTCTTTTTGGTCCTCTGTTATATGAAACCAGTGCCTGTCATTTTGACCAATATTGTTTCATTGGTTCCTTGTACTTTCCCATTGGTCTATGTCTATCTGTTGTGTTTAAGGCAGTGGTTCCCAAACTGGGGTTCACAGAGCGTTACAGGGGGTTTGCCAGAAAAAATTTCACTAATGGCGGACAGAGGATCCCGGGCATTGGAGACAGCAGGTGGGACCCGGTTGCAGGGCAGACACCCCGAGCCCCAGGGAGAGCAGAGCCGGGCAGTTGGGGCTGGCAGCCTGAGCCCTGCCCCCGTCAGCAGGGGAACCGGCAGCCCAAACCCCAATGCTCTGCAGGGGGCTGGAGCGGGGCCGGGCAGTTGGGGCTGGCAGTCTAAGTCCCGGCGGTCAGCGGGGGAGCCGGCAGCCCAAACCCCAGCGCTCTGCGCGGGGCTAGCAGCCCGAGCCCCGCCCCTGTCAGTGGGGGAGCTAGCAGCCCGAACCCCAGCATTCCATGTGGGGCTGGCAGCCCGAGCCCCAGGGAGAGCAGGGCTGGGCTATTGGGGCTGGCAGCCCAAACCCCAGCCTGAGCCCCAGGAAGAGCGGGGCCGCGCAGTTGGGGCATCCATCACACTGAGGAAATTTAAACTTTAACCCTTGAAAATATTCATTTTTAGGAGGGGGGTTCACGAGATTTCACAATTTAGTGAAAGGGGTTTGAGGGTTGTTAAAGTTTGGGAACTACTGGTCTAAGGCCTTGTCTACACTACAAAGTTTTGTCAGCTTAATATGTGCAACATCTAGCCCGCTTTTGGGTGCTAAGTAAATAAGACATTCCTACAGATGTATATAGCCAGCTCTGAACCAAGATCTTTCTCATTTCTCTCTCCAGTTTTGGTGTTGGTATTTCTTTTAGCAATTTGTATTTCAATTCAGAAAGGAAATTAGGAGCTCGACTTCTCCAAAAGAGGTGTTCTTCAGAAAGGAAACTGATACCTTCTTCTGTGTTTTGTGGCTTTTTTTTAAATTAAATAAAAAATAACTTTGGAGAAAAGATCTGGATACAATACACTTCTTCACAAAATGGTTTAGACTCAAGTCCTTAATCCTGGGCACCTGAATTTCATTTTAATGACCATTAAAAGCTGCATTTTTCTTACTGACCTATTCGCATTTTTCACATTTGTTTAATAATGTTCAGTTCTAAAAGGTCCTACAGACATTAAACTTCATAATCCAGCCACACAGTATTATCTCTTGTTAACATCTTAACATTTTGTAGCTACTAATGAATTCAGGAAAAAGATAAATGCATTTTAAAGTGCTTTCTGGAATAAAACCTGGAAAAAAATAGCCATGCACATTTTAAAAATGTTTCCTTTGCTTTATTATTTCCTTTTTTGCTTTAAGGTTAATGATGCTTTCTTTACATTAAGGAGGGTATGATTCTGAAGAGCAATTCACAACGTGCATGCTCTGCTACCTTTTTGACAATGGCTAATAGTATATTTAATCAGTTACAATGGAAGAAAAGCTAACTGGAGATAGTAGAAAAAAAGATTCAACCTTACACAGTAATATGAAATGTGCCTGCGGAAAGTACCATCCCAGTGCAACTTCATTAATAACTGAGATATTTCTTACCTATCCTCTTCTCCCCTCCCACTCTGCTCCTCTGATAAAAGTACACATTGAGAGATAGATAAAGCAAAGGCAGTTTGATAATGGGGAGTTAGTACCCAAACTGTGTTACTTGGAGGTTGAATGAGACCTCTGAAGAATATTATCAGAGTACATTTATACATGCTGTTAAACTTTTAACTATGTTAAAAACCCCTAATTCTCTTCCCTGTAGAGTCACCCTTTTCCTCCCTACCCCCAACAAAAACCTGTTGCTGAGCATTACAGTATACACCTCTACCCCGATATAACGAGACCTCATACAAGACGGGTTCGCATACAACGCAGTAAAGCAGCGCTCCGGCGGATCAGTGCGTCAGGTCCCAGCCGTGGTGCTCAGCTTCCCGCCGCAGGTGAGTGTGGGGAGGTTGGGGAAAGGACGCCCCCCGTACTCACCTGCGGCAGGAAGTGGAGCGCTGCGGCTGGGAGCTGGCAGAGTGGAGTGGGCCGGTGCGTGCAGGACCTTCCCCCCCCTCCCCCCCGCATGACATGGCTGGGGCCTGGACAAGGAAAGCGAAGCGGGGTGGACCCGCAGCACTCTGCCTCCCGCCGCAGGTGAGTACGGGGAGCGTCCTTTCCCCAACCTCCCCGCACTCACCAGCGGTGGGAAGCTGAGCACCGCGGCTGGGAGCTGGCGGAGTGGAGCGGGCTAGGGCTGGGCTGCTCCGCTTCCTGCTGCTGCCGGTGAGTGCCTGTCAGGGGGCGGGTGTGTGTGGATAGCGTTCGGGGCAGTCAGGGGACAGGGAGCAAGAGGGTTGGGTAGGGGATGTGGTCCTGGGGGTGATTAAGGACAGGGCTCTCTGGAGGGGGTGGTCAGGGGACAAGGAGCAGGGGAGCCAAAGCAAGTTTGATATAATGCAGTCTCACTTATAGCGCAGTAAGATTTTTTGGCTCCCGAGGACTGAGTTATATTGGAGTAGAGGTGTACCTTTACGATCAATAGCCCCTGGCTTTGACATATGCATAATATTGGGAGCTATGGAATAGGACTGATCTACTTCCATATCACCAGTGATAAAAATCTAGGGGCTGTTCTCAAAAACTCTTCAGCTGATCTTGATTGTTGTGGCATAATTGTTAGTGAGGATAATGTTTCATAGAAATGTAGGACTGAAAGGGATCTCAGTAAGTCATCTAGTCAGTCCCCCTGTACTGAGGCAGGACTAAGCATTATCTAGATTAGGAATCTCAAACTCAAATCACCATGAGGGCCACATGAGGACTAGTACGTTGGCCTGAGGGCCGCATCACTGAAACCTTTTCATACAACGATACAAAAGTATAGTAAAAAATGAATAAAATGAAGAGTAATGTAGCATGTTATTAAAAGCCAATGTATTAACTTTTAAAAAACTGTAATGAGAAGAGGGGTTTTAATAAAATATAAACAATCAATAATGTACCTCACTCAAAATGACAAAACACGCATTTACTTTTAGAATTACTTTAGTTAAAGCCCCCTCCCCCCGTGCCCTGCCCCCATTCCAACCCCTTCCCCAAATCCCTGCCCTGGCCCCCAGCTCTTCTCCGCATCCTCCCCTGAGCACGCCGCGTCCCCACTCCCCACCCCCCACCCCCCCCAAGTTCTAAGTGCCACCAAACAGCTGTTTGGCAGGAGTGGGGATGCGGCACCCTTGGGGGGGGGGGAGGAGGACAAGAGGGGATGCGGGGAGCATGGCAGCCGGTGGAGTTGGCGCCTATGGTGGGCTGCAGGAAATAGCGCCCGCGGGCCGCATGTTTGAGACCCCTGATCTAGACCATCTCTAACAGGTGTTTGTCTAACCTGTTCTTAAAAACATCCAATATCAGAATTCCATAACCTTCCTAGGCTATTTGTTCCAGTGCTTAACTACCCTTACCATTAGGAAGGGTTTCTTAATGTCTAACCTAAATCTCCTTTGCTGCAATTTAAGCCTATTGCTTCTTGTCTCATCCTCATTGGTTAAGGAGAACAGTCTATTGTCTTCTTTTTAATCACCTTTTATGTACTTGAAGACTTATCACGTCACCCCCTCAGTCATCTTCAGACTAAACAAACCCAATTTTTCAGTCTTTCCTCATGCTTTTTAGAACTTGATTAATTTTTGTTGCTCTCCACTGGACTTTCTCCAGTTTGTCCACAGCTGTCCTGAAGTATAATACTCCACTTGAGTTATCAGGGTTTAGTTTAATGGAAGGAATCACTTCTTGTGTCTGGCTTACAACAATCCTGCTAATATATCGCAGAATGATTTGCTTATATTATAAAGTGTGTGATCCACTATAACCCTGTGGCATACCAGCATACAATTCAGACCAATGAGTAACTGTGTCACCCCTGCCCTGTAATGTGGGATGCCCTTTACAATGCTTTGCTGCTGTAGCCTCCAACCAGGACTGCTCACAAAT